TCTAGTAGGTTAAATATTCTTTGCCAGTGCACTGGCTAGATCCTGATTTTAAATTCTAAAATTTCACCATGCAAAGAGTTGGACAAGCAGAAGTGCCTCAGAAGGGTGCAAGCACTTCAAAACTCATAAAGAAGTTTGCAGAGAGTCATAAAAATTAGTAGACAAGAAAAATTTAGTTATGTAATTAGATTGCCATCTGGAAATCATTGCTCTGCCCTCAAGTAAATCAATAGAACAAAAAAAGAGAGGAAGCCGTACCTACATTCCCTAAAGGACCAATAACACGACCTAAACCGCAAAGTAACATAGCCTATTACATATCTCGCGACACATACAAAACTCGCACGCTATGAAACCTTTTTTTTTCAGTCCACAATCAAGAATTTTTGTAAAGGTTGCAACTTGGTCAAGAAAATTCCAATAACCAGAAGCCAGTACCAGCAATCAGCCCCAAAATCAGAATACCAGTTCCCAGAACCAAATGGAAACAAAAACCATTTTGAAATATGCAAGAATAGGAAAGGCACAGAAAGTCTGTATCAGAGACGATAAACATCCGAATAATTCGACCCTCTCTTAACGCAGGCATGATCCCAAACAGGACCTTAACGTACATAACACCTGAATTCTTCTAAGACCAAGAAACCGCAAAAGAACCAGAATCAGGACTTCGTCATCAAACCCTAACGCAAGAACGATCAGGAGTCGCGAACCACGAGAGAATCCTCACCTGCCGCCCCGCGTAGAGCCACGCAATCCAATCCAAGAACAGCGATTTCTTGAAGCCTTGGATCCAAGAACTGGGAATCGGGAGAAAGGAAGAGTTCTTCGGCAGGCTCGCCCCCTCTCGCTCTTTCTTCCGCTCGAAGCCCGATATGCTTCCAAAACCCCTAATCGCCGGGCCTTAAGAAATTTCTTGCGGCCGAGAAGGGGCCAAATGACTTTAACATCCCTCCACCAAGGCTAAGATACTCGCCCAGACGGACTACCCGTCGAAACCCTCTATGGTGGGACCCGTTAAGGCTAATGAACTGTGGTCTATTGTGAGAGTCGGTACAAACGCAGGTAACTTATTTATAGGAGGAAAGGTTATTTTGGGCATAAGACGACGCCGTCTCTTTATTTGCCTCCTCCTTTGGACGAGCCGGTGAATTAATTAATGAATTGATCCGGTAAGTTTAAGAGGCGTGCGAAAGCTTCAATGTGTGATAATCTACGTTGTACTCCACGTATAAGATAAGGCATTCGTCCCCGTTGCGTTTAGTGGTTTATTCGAGCAATACATGGTGATCATATTCTTTTCCGGATGAGAAATTAAATTAGGAAGACTTTGAAGTCATTGCTTGTATAGATATATAATATAGGTTATGGTAGATGTGAGGTAGGCAGATTAATTATCATTCCTTGGGTAAGATGATTGCGGACTGCAGCCAATGTGATACTCAAAACTCGTGCTCTTCGAATCGTTTCCAACTTCGTGGCGTACCTACCTCGTGGTTGGTCGACGCATCAGGGGACCCATCAGGGTCTCTGGTTGGTCGGTGAATGGAGTGCCGCGAACGAGGGGGAGGGTGGTTTCGTAATTACGTCGGAGTCTGCGGATGCATGGGTCACGTGGCGGGACAGCAGTGTTGAGGTCCCGTTCGGTGGGTCTCACTTGCTGGATACGTGGAGTCGCGCCAGGAGTGGGGCACACTTGAATGGACGCGTGGGACTGCGTCAGTAGTCGACTGCTGGAGTGGTGCGTCGTTGCTCCGAAGGCTGCCGGCTCGCATGTCGCGCCGCCTTTTGCCTCGTCACCTCGGAGCAAGGGAACTCAGTTGATCCCCGCACGTGAGACTGTACCCCCCTCCGATCCCTCGGCTTTAACGCCTCACGTGACCCCCGCACGTTTCATTATGCCCCTCGTCTGAGTAAAGATTAATTATAAATTGTTTTTTATAATTAATTATATTTAGTATCTTAATCTTTATATTTTTAAAAATCATATTAAAATCTTTATAGTTAGGAAGATAAAATCTTAAATTTTAAAAATAATTTTATGATATTAAAAATAAAAAAATAAAATAATATGATTAAATATTTCACCTTCGTAATTACAAAATTTTAATATAACTTTTAAAAATAAAATGATCAAAAAAACTAAAAGTAACTAATTACAAAAGATAATTTATAATTAACTCCTGAGTGGTTGAGTGTAAATGTCTCACGCAATCTGCATATGCGATTGAAGGCTCAAACACGAATAATCAACTCGGGTGATATTATCATAGTATACATTATTTTTTTCTTTAAGCATTTCGACCTAATATATATATATAATATCCGCTAGTAATTGTTTTACACACTAGTTCATTTGTTTTAATAAGTGATCTATCTATAAAAGCCTCATACCATATGATTCAAAAAATAAATATAAAGATATTCATTTATGCCTGTAACAATGAGAATTGAAAGTGATGAAGAATCTTTTTGTCTAATGAAAGTCAAGGATTGATGTTACACCTAAGATGATATGAAATAGCGAGTATATATTAGTTCGGACGTAAAGTAATATGCAGACCATGATTTGGTCCGCAGTGTCATGCAACACCTGACATTTACAATTGCACACCTCCCTCGTGCACACCGCCATAGCTATCTACATCTTCCCCCACAACCTTGCCACACAATTGTTGTATGCCATTATTTTTATTCCTTCCCTTTCTCTTTCTTTCTCCTCCCTCTTCATGTTTCTTCCTTTCTTTTCCTCTTCTTCCTCTTCTTCTTTCTTTCTCCTCCTTATTCATTCCTATCATCTCTCATTCTCTTTCTAGTCTCATTTTATTTTTACTCAAAATACCAATATTTATTAGTGTATTAACATATTGGACACTATCGACAGGTACATATCAATCTGATCAAAATCATTAAAAATAGATCTGATATTATAAATAATAATTCTTAGTGAAAGAAGAGGAAGAGGGTGAGAATATTAAATACGTCAAAAGTGACAATGGAATCAACACGTCGATGAAAGAAAAGGTTGGGGATGTCAAGGAAGCTAAAGTCGGCAAATGGGTCATTCTTAAGAGAGTAGTCAAGATATCAGTAGAGGAAAAATTAAAAAAATAGAGACAACAAACGATGTAGAAGGCAAGATCAACTTCGACGAATGGCAGAGGAAGAAAGGAAGCTTAGGAGTGGAGTGACAATAACGTCAAAGGAGAAAGAGGAGCGTGAAAGGTAGCAACGTTGATGTGAACCAATATAGGGGTAAAAATAATATTTAAAAAATGTTGATAATAGGTAAATTTTTAAATAAAAACTCATATATAAAAGTCCAAAACATGAGATTTTTATGAGTTAATGTCCTTTTCTAAATCTCAAACCTTGATTTATTGAATTAAAATTTACATATTATTTAAATATAATGAAATTTATAGTTTATACTTTTTTTTCTTTTCTTATATGGGTGATATATAAAAAAAAAAAGTTAAGGGTTCATTTTAACTAATGTGATTTTAGCTATAGACCATTTAATTTCTTATGGTTTACTCATGTCTAAGATAACTTATATATTTTTAAAAATATAACATATAAGTACCTCCCATCAAGTCTAAGTTAACAAACGTTAGAATAACTTATAATACATTATTAATATAATAATATATATTTTAAGTAAAAAAAAAAGTTCATTTTAGCTCTTGTGATTTTCATCATGAACCACTTAAGTCCTTATAGTTTTGTTTGTATCTAAAATAATTATTATATTTTTAAAAACGTAACATATAAACCCTTTTCGTCAAATCTGAGTTGACAGATGTTAGAATCTGCTTATGTGCTATGTCAACTCATAATAAACTATTAATATAATAAAAATATATTTTAATTTTAAAAAAATTGAGACCACCATCAATAGCAGGAGGAGGCATCATCGCAGAAGTGACAACTAGTAACAGCATCGGTTCATTGCTGCATAGCAAGGTGTTGCACGTCCGCGGTATCTCCCATGTCGACGACAAGCTCAAGAGCTTCCGATTTTGTCTTACGAGGATGTGCATTGACCAATCCAACGTTAAGTATGCAATGGTCTCTTGATCCCTTTTCCTTTTCCTAAGCGTCTTCGTCCCTGTTGCCTCTCATTTTATCCTCTCATGTGCCCTCACCCATCGCATATATGACGTGGTGGTGCAGCTCTCCCTCACCTCTGCCCTCTCCTACCTCTGCCTCTCTGCCTTCGTTCGTCGCAACGATCTTCGTCGTTTCTTCTTCCTCGAAAAAAAATATATTTTTAAAAAACTTAAATTATATATAACTTTATATTAATAATTTATTATAAATCATCATGTCACGTAATTAGACTTTAACATCTGTCAACTCAAATTTGACGAGAGGAGCTTATATGCTATATTTTTTTAAAAATATAATAATTATTTTATATATAAATAAAATTATAAAAACTTAAGTGGCCCATGACCAAAATCACAAGGGATAAAATATTTTTTTTTAAAATTTTAATTATGTATATTATTATATTAATAATTTATTATGAGTTAGGAGACTCTAATATATATTAATTGAGACTTGATGAGAACGATTTATATGTTATTTTTAAAATATAAAAGTTATTTTAGATATCAGTAAATAATAAAGATTTAAGTAGGCATAAAAAAAAATCACAATACCTAAAATCAACCTTAACCTTAAAAAATAATAAAATAAATATTAATCAGCTTCCTTTTTTTTCCCGCATAGTAATCGATAACCCCTTAGAAAAAGGCTTGTGGGACCCGCGGTTCCATAGATAGAGAGAATCTCGACCGTCGGATTTAAACAGGACGCCATTATGGTGAATCGCGGGGGTGTTTCCGTCGCAACGGCCTCGATTCCTCGTGCTAAGCTTACCCCATTTTAGCAAAGACGTGTAAAACTCTACGCAGAATAGGAGGGGAAAGGCCGGAGCATAAATAGCGAAAAGGAGAAGGATGTATATCAACTCTCCGTTATAGAACCCAACGGCGAGTTTGGAGGAGGGATGGAGGAAGAAGGGGAGTCCCGATGATGGCGGCTGGTATAAAGAATCGCGGTTTTGACTGCGTGGGACATCGACTCTATCTCTCAATCCTCCTTCGGGGGAGAGACAAGGTGGGAATAGGGAGGATTGGAGGTCAGGGCAGGGTGGATGGGGACATGGCGGAAGGCCTATGGAGCTCTCAAGGATTCCACCATGGTCGGCCTCGCCAAGGTCAACAGCGAATTCAAGGTCCGAAACCTTACCTCAATTGAGATTTTCCTTTCGATTCGATCTATAAATCGAGGTGATCAGATGATCCTCTCTCTATCTAAATCGTGTTTCTTCCTTTTCTTCCTTGATTGATTTGATGCAAGGAATTGGACGTTGCGATAGTGAAGGCGACGAACCATGTGGAATGCCCACCGAAGGAACGGCATGTGAGAAGTGAGTGGATTTGGTTCCGGTGTTCCAGTTTAGGTACTGGGAAATTTACATGTTTATTTCGGTGAAGAGATTTGGGAGATTTGGTCGGTTGTGTGAACAGTCCGATAAAGATGGAATTCGAGATTCAAGTCTTTTTTTTAACATGAAAGAAAAGGATGATTCTATGTTGAATTGATCATTCTCTTTAAGTGTTTAGATTGAGCATCATGTACGTTGAGCCTTGTTTCATGTTCCAGGGATATTTGTTGCTACAGCTGCAACTCGGCCACGAGCAGACGTAACTTACTGCATATATGCGCTTGGCAGAAGATTGTCCAAGACACGTAATTGGACGGTATGTATAATCCAGATCCTTTAGAACATCTCAGTTACAATCTTAGTCTATGCCTAAACTCTAAATTAATAATAGCTTGTACACTGACCCTGTCATCTTATTACAAACTTGCAGTAGTTTCACTTTGAATTTGACCAGGCTAGCTTTCTCTAATTAAAAAAATCCTGTTGGTAGTTCTTCTTTCCTTTTGACTTTCCACTCCAATGGTAGCATCTCTGTTGTGTACATTGTGTAACATCTTTTACATTCTTTAAATGTGCTTCATGGTAAACATTAATGCATGTGATAAAACTGCTGATAACTATGTGGTTAAAGAGATGTTGCCAACTGCTGGTTTACACAAATGGGCCGCCATTGGACCCGGTGAATTTCCAGTCTAGATCGACTTAGTTATTAAACAACAATGGAAGCTACAGTTGACATTTCTGATTGTCCACAAGCTGAATCTGTCATATTGGTGGTGCACAAAGTGTTGGATGATAAAAATGAGAGATGAAGTTTAGATAATACTGGTCAAGGAAGTTTAATTTAAGTAACTTGTCCTGCTATTTGTCATGATATTTTACTGTAATTTAGTTGTAGCAATATAACAACAACATTTTAAACAAATCATCTTGTTTATTTTTTCTTCAGGAAATGAATATGGGAATATTCCCCATCCAACTTTAATCTTGAATGCTTGAGGTTTTCAAAATTGGTATCAGCACATGTTTATAATTTTGTACTCCAAAACACGAATAAACCTTGACAAAATTTCACAGGTTGCTGTAAAAACATTAATAGTTATCCACAGAACATTGAGAGAGGGTGATCCTACATTCCAAGAGGAGCTGTTGAGTTGCTCTCACCGAGGAAGTATTCTACAGATATCGAACTTCAAGGATGATTTGGGTTCTCTAGGTTGGATTCTTTCTTCATCCTTTTGGAATGCCAAGTTCCAGGTTAAGTAGGAAAATTTCAGTCTATTTATAATGTCAAGATTTTGCGTCATGTAGCTTGGGACTGTTCTGCCTGGGTAAGAACATATGCACTCTACCTAGAGGAGCGGCTCAAGTGCTTTAGGATCTTAAAATATGATATTGAAACAGAACGTCAGATGAAGTCTCCACAGGAGTCTGCCAAGGTAGTTCGACTTTTCTCATTGTTACAGATTGAAGGATCACAAATTTATTTTCTTGTATCATGTGTGTTTTCTTGTTTTCTTTGCAAATTTCCAGTGGCATAGTCGAACCAGAAGTTTATGCTGTCCGGATCTGCTCGAACAGTTGCCCGCTTTGCAACAGCTTATGTTCCGACTTATTGGTTGCCAGGTGCCTGTAACTTCTATTGTCCATTATTTACTCTTCCAGTATCACTAAATATAACTCAAATGTTCTAGCCGGAAGGAGCAGCATTTGGAAACTTTCTTATTCAATATGCTCTGGCTCTGGTATGCTTTTGGTCTTTTTTATTCCTTTGTTCATGATTTTTTCTATAAATTTCTTTTTTAAGTTTAGTAACTGAAATTTTTTGTTTCTTGTTCTAGTCTAGTGCTATTTTATGCTGATCTCTACTCATCTGATTTCTTGAGTCAATATGACATTTATTTGATCATATATCTGCTCTAATTTATGTAAGGATTAGCTTCCTGATTTGAATATGATGTTAAAACAAATTACTAGGTCATAGTAATGTAGGATCTTAATATGTGGTTAGTAATGAAGTCTTCAAACTCAACTGAAGATTCAAAATAATACTTGAGAGGTCTCTCTTATAAGTTTCCTTATAATGATAAATTTTGAAGTTGGCAATTGTGTCACCTTGGCTCGTTAGAAGATTCATGACGATTCTATTTAGTTGTCATTTTTCTTGTTATTATTATCTTTGATCATGGTTGTCACCTTTTAAAGTTTGTTCTTGCATTTGTTTAAATGAAGATTTTCATGATTATCTAGTAATAATGACTGTATATAAATTATCAATCGAATATCAAAGACTTGAGTCTAGTTATATAACCAAAATCTCCTGGAAACCATGTTGACATCCTTTTTGATGTGTGAGCACTATCATAAGCTTTCTTAATAATGTTTGCACCCATTTAGCAGAGATCAAGCTGTTAATTGTTTATTACTTTAAAAGAATGTATCAATTCATTAAATTTTGTTAGTCAACCAACCTATTGTTCTACACAGATCATGTTTATGAAGTTAATTCTTTATCTTGACTCTGCTATTGAAGCATTCTTCGAAGCATTATTGAGTGACACGTCATGCACCTTTCTGGTGCATGTGGTGGGAACTTTGATTCTTTTAAATATCAGTGAAGGATCTCCTTGTAATGGGTGGGCTTTAAGTTTATTGTTGTTGACCTGGGCCTTTGTCTCTGCTCATCCATGAGAGAAAGGACATTGAGAAACTCTGCATGTGCCAGCTTTGTTTCAAAATAAAGTTATCCAGCTTAATCTGTTTGGCCATACCAAGTAACATTGATCGATTATGTTCTTTGTTAACCACCACAAGACCTTTTCATTTTAGAGATTTCCAAAGTAGATACTGCCAATTATGCCATGGGATCCACCAAAACAGATAGAATTAACTAGGGTAATATTATAGAACAAACAAAAAGGTTCCCCCAGTATAAACATGCAGCTGATACTTTCCTGTTTTATTGACTAGGTTTTGAAAGAGAGCTTCAAAATCTATTGTGCAATCAATGATGGGATCATCAATCTCATGGACATGGTACTTTCGTTTTGATAGTAAGATTTTGCGTTTCTTGATCAAAAAAGGGAATTTAGCAACTCCAGATTAGTTTACCATTGGATCTAATGCAGTTCTTTGAGATGCCAAAATGTGATGCCATCAAGGCCCTTGAAATCTACAAAAGAGCCGGACGACAGGTATATATTGTTCTTACAAGGTCTCATTTTTCTGCTATTGACAACTAATTCTGCCCCCTCATTCTCTTCAGGCAGAAGCTCTTTCTGAGTTTTATGAAGTTTGCAAACATTTGGAACTTGCCAGGAGATTTCGCTTCCCAACCCTGAGACAGGTTCTGTTTTATCTATTTTAGGTTTAGGCTAGTATGAATACCTTATCTTTTTACCAACTAAACTAACCTGACTGAACTATTTAGCTTATAACATCTAATTTGGTTCATCATTTAGTTGAGCTATGTCTATCTAGAATATAAAAAATGTTAAAACCTTTCTCATATGTGAGCTTAAGCATATAAATGAGTGAAAATTTTGTCCCCATCTAATCCGTGTTCCAAGAGTTGGACTCAAGCTACCAGTCCATGTATGAGAGGGTGTATTATAAATTATTAAACCTTGTCTCAACTATTGGCTTACGTCTAGAGGGTATTGGCAATGACTAATTTAACACTACCAAGTTGATGTGAAAGAATAAACTTGCTCCCACATTCCTCTCGAGGCATCTCTGAAATTTGTTGACTGAATATACTCTTTAGTTACATGGCAACTTTCCTACTATTGATGCTTTTTATGTATATTTTCTCAGTCACCTGCTTCGTTTCTTGCAACAATGGAAGAATACATCAAAGAAGCACCTGGGATTGGTTCTGTTTCAAGTAAGAATCTGGTGAGTGTAATTAAGTTTTCAGGTGCAAATATTTGCTTATATTGTTTCTTTTTCTAGATTGCTAAGAGGTTAGTCCTGTATAAGTAGTTTCAATTGGTTTTTTCCTTCATTCTGTTGCATGCAGTAAAGAAGCCATCCAGCTATTTGCTACAGTAATCATTGGATTGGTGATAAATAAGTTTCTGACTAGAACTTTTGGTCTTTTGTTCATAAGAATATTGGTTGTTAAGCATGTGAGTGTCCAGGAGGAAGGATTATTTAATCAATTGTTGTGATGCAATGGATACTTTGTATACTATTGTAATAGATTTCTGTCCACTCACTAAATGATCTTTTACCATTACAATCATGATTCTTCTTTTTCTTTCCCTTTATGGGTTACATTTTGTTTGATTTTAGTTTTCCTTTGTCATTTTATATTTGTTGTTTGATAAATCTTTAAATGTGTCATCAAGAAGATAATATTCCTTGCTCACCGTATCCGAGAACTTGGATATCCCAATTTATGTCATAGCTCAGCATGCACCATTTGGTAAAGGTGGATAATGATGAGGCTTAATTGCTGAAAATCAAATGCAGAGCTATATCTTTGCCTAGCTTGCCATTGAAAAACACACATAAGATATGACACATAGTCGTAAAACTTGGTAAGGCCAGACTGTGGCTTCATCACGGTTGAATCTTGAAGCATTGTTTTACATATTTGCATAGTGAACAATTTGAACTGTTCTTTTTATTTGGAGCAACAACGTTAAGCTGCGGTGTTTTTTTATATTTAGAAGTTGCTCGATGAATTGTAGTTGATGTCTTCAATGGTTTTTTTCCAAAAAAGTGTAGAAATTAAACCACCCTACTTCCATTTACTAGATGTTAGAAGGAAGAAAGAAGGGATCCAGCTGAACTGGTAAAAAGTCAAGCAAGAAACCAAAATCAAGATCAACCAACAAAAAAGAACTGATGAGTCCGAGGAATACAGGTTCGCAAATCAACCCAATCAGATGAACTAAAACTAATACATGGAAGTCTCTGATGAAGCTTTTGCCATGCAATTGACTTGCAGTATATCTGGATACAATGAGCCAAATCACTTCTGTTGTTTTGTTAAGAATTAGATTGGGTCCTTTCCTACTGGTTTAAGTTGGAATTGATGATAATTTAACCAATACTTTATCATTGGTACCAACGCGGGTTATGAGTCCTTACCTAGGTATTGTGCTAGGATGATATTGAGTTACCTGGGAATTTGTGCTAAGCTTCTGCGAGTCCCTTCGAATACTGTCTAATATATCACAGAGCTCTCAATTCACAATCACACTTTAAGACCCTTCATAAATTTCATTTCTTGAAGGACTTATGAGGATCAATGTTCTCCAACATACTCTACACTTGCTAGTGACAATACTCTACCATATATTAGCTTCCTACTTGTGTTCATCAGCGACTTCAAATAAATTTGCTTACGTGAAACTTGTTTGAACCAGGAATATGAAGATAGTAACCCACCATCATACAATCAAGATGAAGCCCCTTCTCCGGAGAATAAAAAACCAGATGAGGAAGAGGAGGAACAGCCACCTGCAGGGGAACAACCACCAGAATCTGAACCTGTCACGGAGGTTGAATCTCAGCCTGCTACTACAGGAGACTTATTGGTAACCCATGTGTATCCTTTTGTATATTTATTTCGTGAAGGGTCTGCTTTAAAGGAATGATATCCATCTTTATATCATTATTCAGGGTTTGAATGAAATAAATCCTGCTGCTGCGGAACTTGAGGAAAACAATGCATTGGCTCTAGCCATCATTTCACCAGGTAGCCTAGTTTTCCTTTTCATTTTCTTGTTTTTTAGATTAAATATCCACTTCTTTACAGTCAATATATTTTTCATGAGCACAGGAGAATATGCTGCTGTATTTCTGTATCTTGTACAAGAATACTTTTCAAGATCACATAAATTTATCATGATATTATTGTTAAATCCATGAAATCATTGCAAGCAACTATAATAATTTTTTAAATTTCCAGGGGATAATACAAATCCTTCAACAACTGGTGACTTGCTTGGAACCGATTCTTCTGGTTGGGAATTAGCATTGGTAACTGCTCCCAGCAGCAACACCAGCCACTTGGTTGAAAGCAAACTGGTATATTTGTTATTTATTTCCTTTCTATAATATTTATTTATGTCACTCGAACCTTCATAAATCATCATTTTGTAAATGCTATTTCTGTTTCACTACAAAGATCAATATGCTTGATATCGTTCAATGTGTAATTTGGGTCATTTCGTATTTAAGTTGATAGGAAGCTTGGAAAGCGAAATACAATTTGACTATTTGCTCACAGAAAATCTCATACATTCAGATCAAGATCTTGTTTGCCTTTATTTACATTAATTTTAAGGTATTGGTTATACTCTTTGAGCAGCAAAACTAAAAGCCAATAATCTACCTGTTCTTTGCTTCTTCAGTGTTGATCGATGCACAGCTTTAGAATAATCTACCTGTTCTTTCTAGTTCATCTCCATTTCATGGTTGCGGTGCAGGCTGGTGGATTTGACATGCTCTTGCTCGACAGCCTCTACGAAGACTCTGCCAGGAGACAACAAATGGCTTCGGCTGACAGCGGCGGGCTGGACGCCAATCCTTTCGATCCCTTCGCCATGTCGAACAGCATCGCGCCTCCACCAAGCGTGCAGATGGCTCTGATGGCACAACAGCAGCAGCAATATTACCAGCAGCAGCTGCAGCAACAGTACTGCTCACCACAACAGCAGCAGCAGTTTTATCAACCTCAATACCCTTCGCCGCAGCAGATGGGCTCTGCCAATCCCTTCGGCGACCTGTTCGTTGGCTTTTCACCGGGCGCAACCCCACAAGGCAATCAATATCTACACTGAGGCCCTTATTCGAAGCACGATCCAATCTCCTATCACGGTCAGCTTTCTTGTACTGTTAACTACGTCACCAAGCATGAGTTCGACCGAACGACCGGTATGTTCTTCTACCGCAGGACGAGGCTTCATTTGTACAGGCCCTGCCCAAAGATGGAGTGCCCCTGCCATGCTTATCCATCTCATCTCGCTGGAGATAGTTCGGCCGACCAAGCATGAACACAACCTACACCAATTTCGAGTTCTTTTGGTAAAGCGTCTTTCTACATTAAACCGATCCATTTGTAACAATCCCTTATTATCATCCTGTGTGTTTAACCCCTGGCGGTAGCAACAGAGTATTCTGACATTGATATTTTCTCTTTACGATGTAATCTGATATGCAAGAAGGTATGGACACTAACGAACCAAACACGTCAATTCACAGATATTTGGGTGCAAGTGAAGCTATTGTTCGGATCATCTCTCATTCCTCAACCTTATTCAATTCGATCCAATCCAATTCATGGCCACATACGTCCTATATAGATCTCAGATTAGACCTAGTCCGTATTCGTTTCTAAAAACATTATGCATGACAGGGAGACATGCATTTGATTAGGATCATATTCGATGTATATTTTTCGTTGTATTAGAAGTCAATTTAAGATGATTCAGGATGCTTGGTCTTGAATTTGACTTGCATATTTTACTTAATCGTTAAAAAAAAGTATATAATTTTTAATAAATTGATTGCATTAATTATAACGTTCTTGATGAAGTTTTATATTACTTTCAATTAATTCATATTTGTACTATTATTTTCTATTAATTTAAATATTTTCTTTTTCATTTCTTATTTATGTAAGTTCTTCACACGTTTTTCCTGTGTTTTATATGAACTTATGATTTTGATATTTCGGATCCATGATAAATCCGCATGCAAACTTAATCTTCTCTATCCAACCCGGATCCGCACTGACCCAGTACTACAGCGGCTAGGATGCGGATCCAGCTGCCTACCCCATGACTTGAGCATGCCCGACGCGCAGGCTCGAGCCTAATCGTTGCTTCTCAATTGTTCTCCCCCTTCCTCTCTTCCTCCTCCCGTCTCCCCTTCGATGGCTCGATTGATCTTTGCCAGGACCGTAGCCGGAGCCTCGCCCAGCCTCACAACTGCCGCCCGCCTTTTCAGCTTCCGTCTCCTCTCCGGCCGTCCTGAGAAGGTAGAGCTCTTCGAGCAGGAGATCCAGGCAGAGGATCCCTACTCGGAGATCGAGGTCCTCGGGATGCGACGCCTCGAGGAAGCCATACACGCCATCATAGTTCGCAGATCCGCTCCCGATTGGCTGCCCTTCATCCCTGGCTCCTCCTACTGGGTTCCGCCGCGCAGGCGCCCTCATGGTGTCATCGATCTCGTCCACAGGCTCACCTATCCGATGACAGAGGACGAGATCATGTCGTTCACCACGGATCGTGGCTGGCCTTCCTCCTCCTATTTTGTGGAAGGTAATGAAGCAGATAACCTTTTGACTTGTTATTGATACATATTTTGTGGCCTCATATTCATATTCTTTTGGGAGCTTTCGAATTTATAGTTGATGTTACTATAACTAGTAAAAATTTATGTGATCAAGGCGTCAGATTTTTAGTTTCTGGCGATGTCATCGCTTCTTCATAAATTAGTACCGTACCAGTCAATTCAAGTCCCCGATTTGAGAATATGACAATGGTATAGATCAGGCTTAAAACAATACGTATTTCTTATTCTGTTTATTTTTTGCCACTATTTGTAGATTGTCTTTCTCCTAAACTGGATTGTTCTACTAAGAAACTCATCTTACATAATTAACTTATGTGAATTTATATCAGAAGCCAGCTTTGTGTAATGAAACGTTCGGATTCTACAATGAACTGTTCGTTCATCTCGCATACAATTTTGTCACGAGAACATCATTCGTTTGGTGTTTCAGTCAGATTGACTCCAAGGATTATTCTAACAAATGCAAATATACATATCATGTACTTTCTTACAGTTTTTGTTCATTCTGTTGTTATTAATTGCTATCTTTATCACACAGGTTAGTGAGTACGGATCAGTAACCATGACTAGTTTCTCTATATGCCAAGTGATTTGTTCTGTGTACTTATGCCTTAACGACCCCGTTACTTTCCCTGTTACTTACTATTTACAAAGCAGTTCAGTCCATTTTTGTGCATACAAATTTTTTTTTTAACAATAGAGTAAAACCAGACTTGGGTGCTTATGATAGTCATGTGTTTGGTGCTCTTAGACAAAGCATCTGCTTGAACAACTGGAGCTCAATGTAGATAGCATTAAGGTTAAACTCAGCTATGCCAAATTGGAACTTTTTTAGTAGTGTTGGAATAAACCTCTAACTAGTACTTAAGCCACGATACCGGCCTTACTGTATTGCAAAACGTGGATCTTAGATAACCCTTTATGACAGGTGTAATTACTGCAGGCATTTATTTATTTTTATCTACATGACTATTTGTCCGATGCCCCATCTCTCATCTCCAAAGCTTGCCGATCGACCAGTTAACCTTGTATGAGCTAACTCTGAAGCTAAAGTTGGCCAATGAAATGGAAGCCAAAGTTAACAAATTGAGGCATATGTTTCATGATTTCATAACACACTTGCAATTCCTTCATTGTTTAAGATGATGATGTTCTCGGCAAAATGTAGATAAAGTATTGCGGAAATTCATTAATCATATCATAAATTACTATTTTATATATTGTGAAGAAAATACTATATTACTTCATATTTTCTTTCTGGGCATATATCTCCATGTTGTTAAAGCTGGTTTGGTTTCTGCCAATGCTTTTAAGGTGGTCAATTTCCAGCAGAGTTAGGTTGTTTGTTAAATTTTAATAAAAAAAAAAGATATGCATCTGTTTTGCCAGTGGAACTCATTTTTCTTTCAAAGTCCCTTCACTCATGTGCCTCCTATGGACTACAGGTACACCTCTGCAACCAGTGAAGAAGAGCAAAGGGAGGACCAAGGTGCACTCTGATGATGAAGAACGCTAAACGTCACCCAACAGGTTGCCGTTGAGGTTAGTGTTTTGTTGCTTATACTTGTTTGGGGAGTACAATGAACAAAGAAACCAGGATAGAAATCAATCAAACTTAATTCTTCTGCGAGTGTGAATTTATGTGAGTGTCATCTTTGACATTGTTCAGCCCAAACTTAATGAATGTCAGTGCTAGTGAATTTGTTATCGGAATTGGTGAATCTGTGTATTAATATGCAGGCTCTTTCATGCTGCGACTTAAATGCCAAGCATTTCAGCTCCTTGTACACATGGGAAGGGAGATTGCGGCTGTTGGGTTCCAGTTCACCAATGCAAACTAGTCCTACCTTCTCTTCCTGCCCCCAGGCATTCAGATGTTGCAACTTTGGTAAAACTTTGCTCATAATGTGATCAATAATGATCTAATCCACTTCTGTTCATATCTATTCCGTAATGAAAATGATAAAATTGGCATGTGACAATGGACAATGCCTCATTTCCAGTCTTTGCCAACAATTAGGCTTTGTTGATTTGATGTTTAGGTGATGCATTAGTAGAGTGCAGGAACCTCAGCTCTGCAATATCTGGCTCAGAACCATTCAGATCTTCTCACCACGACATCGAAATCCTCCAAGGTAAACTTTGCCACCTTCCTTCAACTTTGTGGTTTGCTCTTTTTGGTTCTAGGAATAGGTGAAGTCGGTTATTATGTGGAGAGTAACTGATCAGTTGAATTGGTAGAGCCATTAATATTAACATTGGAAGGTAACCGCAGTCATTCTCTGTTGTGTTCCAAATTAAAATTTGAAGCTTCTTTTTTGTGAATAGATCCTTTTGTGATGCCTTGAGCTCTAATAGCAGTTTATGGGGCAAAAAGGATGAAGAAGATACATGAAGTTAATATTTGGTGATGTAATGGCTTCGTAGTAATTATTGTCTGATGCAGCAATTTTTGGGGAAGAGAAGAGGAATTGACGAAATATTTGGTGCTTCAAAACCTTAACAGTCATTGGTCTGACGAATGGACGACACCAGTTTCAAATTAGGAAGAGAAGCAACCTTAGTTTTGAGTCATTTTTGCCTGTTATATTTGCAAAAACATTGATTGTCATCGCACCCTTGAACCCCTGGGCGACAAATAGCATGATGGGCATTTCAATAGTAGGACATCATGGAGAGAGAGAGAGAGAGAGATCTCTTTGCATTATGGGTAAAATTGGGCTTTTATTTGTTATTTTATATGTTATCACACACGAAACATTAGTCATCTTAGTACCTTGGCTCTTTGAGTGGCACGACACTTGACAAGGCTCTCAAATAGTAGGATTGTCACTTGAGGCCCTCTGCTCACTTGTCATGTGGTCGTGTAGGTTTTTTGTTTGGATCATTTTCATGTGTTGTGATGACGCCAAATATTGATGGAGCATGACTTGCCAACCTTTGGAATTTGGAGACAAAAGTGTGTACCACAAGGATAATCGAGTAAAGTTGTCAAGCCTTCATAGTGACAATGTTGTAATATTCTTCCATGTTTGCTATTCCTCACGTAAAAATTATCATTTATCAGCATGTCGAAACACCTCTTAACCTACCGTAGGCTTTTTGGCGCCATGCCAAAAGACACAATTTTGCATGGATGGAAGTTGAATCCCTGTGAGATATTGGATTTGAAGTGTTAGAATGACCTTAGCTACTTAAGAAGCTTGGATGACCAAATTCTTTTTTCAAAAGAAAAATTAAACTTTAATTGTAGGAGGAAAAATGAACTAAAACACCATCATTCTCATCTGATCCAGCAAACCAAAAAAAAAACTCAGCAGAAGGATTCTTGAGACAAACCCAATTACATTTGTTATGCTTTGCAAAGCTAGACTTTGGGACTGAATGTTTGTTTATTCGCTTGTTGCAAACTGATTACATTTGTTTTACTTTGCAAACAGTGCAGCAGAAGGATTTCACTCACAAACGACATGTATTTACTTTGCTTGTTGTATCGCTACATGGGCAAAACTACCCGGATTAGTCATTTTCACATATGTGACACAAAACATAAATGGATCTTGGAATGGCACAAAACTGGATTGACCTCGTTGTGACATTTAAAAAATGTCAAACATCTCAATACCTCGCGAGGATCATATGTTCATTCTATCAATGACCAATTTTCTCAACTAGGCGTAACTTTTCAATCTGCTATAAGCATTAACTTTTCGATTTTCTTAATTATATAGCCGATAAATTCAGGAGAAAAATGTCTATGGGCCACAAAAGAGTTTTAGGACAAAATTACACCCGAAGACAAATGGGAAGGAAACACTCTTCTTATTGCCAACGGTCCTCATTTCTTTCCTGATGACCGTATCGTTTTGATATTTCGGATCCATTATAAATCCGCATACCATGCAAGCATAACCTTCACCATCCAACTCGGATCCGCACTGACCCGGTACTAAAGCGGGTAGGATGCGGATCCAGCTGCCTACCCGATTACTTGAGCGGACCTCTCGATCCTCATCGATCGTTCTTCCTCGTCCTCTTCGGCTTCGCGTCTCCCCTTCGATGGCTTGGTTGCTCTCTGCCAGAACCGTAGCCGGAGCCTCGCCCAGCCTCACTACTGCCGCCCGCCCTTTCAGCCTTCGTCGCCTCTCCGGCCGTCCCGACGAGAAGGTAGACCTCGTCCAGCCGGAGATCGAGGCGGAGGATCCCTCCTCGGAGATCGAGGTCTTCGGGATGCTACGCCTCGAGGAAGCCATACACACCATGATAGTTCGCAGATCCGCTCCCGATTGGCTGCCCTTCATCCCTGGCTCCTCCTACTGGGTTCCGCGCCGCGGGCGCCCCCCTGGTGTCGTCGAGCTCGTCAGCAAGTTCACCAATCCGATGACAGTGGACGAGATCTTGTCGTTCACTATCGATCCTGTCTTGTCTCCCTCCGCTTATTTCGTGGAAGGTAATGAAGCAGATATCCTTTTGACTTGTTCTTGATATATATTTTGTGGCCTCATATTGATATTCTTTTGGGAGCTTTCGAATTTATAGTTGATGTTACTATAACTATTATAAATTTATGTGATCAAGGCGTCAGATTTTTAGTTTCTAGCGATGTCATCGCTTCTTCATAAATCAGTACTGTATCAGTCAATTCAAGTCCCCAATTTGAGAATATGACAATCGTATAGATCAGGCTTAAAAAAAATATGTATTTCTTATTCCGTTTCTTGATTGCCACCATTTGTAGTTTGTCTTTCTCCTAAACTGGATTGTTCTACTAAGAAACTCATCTTACATAATTAACTTGTGTGAATTTATATCAGAAGCCAGCTTTGTGTGATGAAATGTTTGGATTCTGCAATGAAATGTTCACTCATCTCGCATACAATTTTGTCATGAAAACATCATTCGTTTGGTGTTTCAATCAGATTGAGTCCGAGGATTATTCTTACACATACAAATATACATGTCGTGTACTTACAGTTTATGGTCATTCTGTTGATATTAATTGCTATCTTTATCACACAGGTTAGCGAGCATTGATCAGTAACCATGTGATGGAGAATCATCTAGCTTTACAAAATATTTCAGAAAAGTTTATTCAAGGCAAAGAAATCAACAAAAAGTCATTTGGTCTAGAAATTTTAAGAATTGTGTTGAAAATTAAAAAAAAAAATCATTTGGTCTTTATAGGGATTCCTTTTGTATTAAGTGCACTCATTTACTATTTAGGTATCCTAAAAGTCACATTTTGAATTTCTAAAAATCATACTAATTTCCTAGGAGATTACTCTTGGGAATCACTGTCTTCACTAATTGTACTAAGGCTCCCAAAACATTATAGATAGTGGAGCTTGTCAATGGATTAAACATTTTTAAGTATGAATGAAAAAAGTTGCATCTTCTCTAGTCTCTTACTCTCCTCCCTTATTACATACTTCTCTTTCTTTCTCTTCCCCTCTCTTTCTCTTTACTTTCCTACTCTGTTTCTACATCAATGTGGTATCAAAGCCCATTAAGAAATCTGCCCTATACTCCATTGGATTTCAACTAGCAACAAAAGCTTTGATCAACACTAAAGGATCCTTGCACTTCCAACATCAACCCCTTGCATGTGGAGTTGAACTTTGGGCCGACTATTCTTATGGAATTGATGGACTACAAAGGTCTCAGTGTCGGGTAAATTTTTGAAAATTTTACTAATATTTTTTTTTTGTTGGAAAGAAAAATCGTATATTTCATTAGATTATGGTTTTGATCAATCTCCCCTTGTTTTCTCCCTTTTTATTTATCACCCTCTCTCAACCCTTTAGTTATGACTACACTACCATTAAAATTTGAACCCTTGAAGGTTGTCAAAAAACAAAAAAAGTGAGGAACAAAATAAGAACCATTGAAACTTTGTTTCTATTTTCTACATTACAACAATTAACAACCTCATTACCAAAAGGTAATTTGTCGATAGCATTAGAATCATGAATCGACGAGGTGAATACCAAACCAATCATTATGAATCTCTAAACCAATAGAGTGAGGTAGACACCCTTAGAATCAAGCTAGCAGATCATGACATGATGTTGAACCAGTTATGTGACTAAATTACCTAGGTCCTAAGAACTCTTTAACATCTTGAAAAACGACCCATGAATGAGGAGGTTGATGGGTCGGTTAGGAAACATATCTATTCTTCATAATTCATAGCTTTAAATCAAAGAATTTTACCTAATCCCCAAGCCCCAATCTGAACAAATCCTAGGTCTACCTATAGGACACTTGTTCATAGTTATGCTCCAACAATTCCTGATGACCAAGCCTTAACCTTAACGACGAATTTTTAGAATCTACTAGAAATCCACAAACCCGAGTAAGGGGCTAACAAGTTCGATTTGCTGACAATTTTGAGGAAATGATTAGAAGAGTCAAAGTGGATGTGTTGGACTTTGATGGTAGGTTTGACCCAAATATGTTTGTTGACTGGTTAGATAGCATGGAAGTCTACTTTGAATGATATGGAATGATTGATATTAAACATGTACGATTTGCAAAAATAAAACTAATAGGGTCCATTAGGAAATATTGACAATATATCCAATGTAGTTTCGAACACCGTCGAGAGCCTCCCATCACTCAATGAGAAGTCATGAAACAAAAACTTAGGGAAAAATATTTACCAACTACTTTTGAAGCTAATTGGTTGAACAATTGTTAAACCTAAACAATTGAATTCTAGTGTAGCAGAGTATTTAGCCCAATTTGAGGAACTTTTACTTAGGTGTGAAATATAAGAGGACTAAATTATCACTATATGAAGATTTGTTAATGGGTCGAGGTTTGACATCCAACGGAAGTCTCTTTTAGTTTCCCTAACACTATGGAGGAAGCTTCCCGACGAGCTCGTAAGTTTGAAAAGTACATCAAACTTTATCCAATTCGTTAAGTATCATCTCAATCTCTCAACACTAGAACTATTACCCAATCTACCCCAAGTAGTGGCTCTATCAAGTCAAAAATCCCCACTACTAGCAACAATCCTGGCCCAACCAAGAATCATCCTACTCATTCAACTACTCATTCTCAAATTAGTTGTTTTCAATCCAGTGTCATTATTACCATATTAGAGGTTATATTATCTCTCATTGTCCTCAACGTGCCCTTACCTTAAAACAAGAATCAAAAGATCAAATCGAGGAAGTAGATCAAGTAATTGAATCCAAAGCCTACTCAGGTGATGAAAATGAACTAGAAATTGAAGATGCCCATGTTAATGTTGTTCGTATTGTTTTCTCTACCGCTAGTGACTCCAATAAATGAAAGAGGACAAGTATCTTCCATATTTTTATTTGAAGCGGGAAAGAACTAGCAAATTAGTTATTGATGGGAATAGCACTATGAATGTAGCCTCAAAATCTGCTATCAAGAGACTAAACCTTAAGGTAGGGTCACATCCGACCCCATTCAAAATAGCCTGGGTTGACAAAACAATTCTACTCTTGATTGAGAGATGCCTAATATCAATCAAAATGGGCGATTACCAAAATGAGATTTATTATGACACCCTATCCATGGAGTCGCATTAAACAAACAAGTTTAACTTTTGGCTAAAGGCTTACCTCAGTCCTTGCGCTATCATTGCCTTGTTAACCCCTAAGAAAGATGGGTCGTGGAGGACATGTGTGGATAGCCGAATGATCAACAAAATAACAATCAAATATCACTTCCTGATTCCTCGTCTTGAAGGGACGCTAGGCCTTCTCACTGGATCTAGTTGGTTTTCGAAAATTGATTCTTCAACTTGAGGAGATATTAGACCTTCTCGTTGGATTTAGTTGGTTTTCAAAAATTAACCTGAGAAGCGGATATGACCAAATTTGTATTAGACTTGGTGACGAGTAGAAAACAACATTAAAAACTTGATGGCATATATGAATGGTTAGTCATGCCCTTTGGTCTATCTAATGCCCCAAGAATTTTCATGCACTTCATGAACCAAGTTTTACAACCCTACATAAGCAAATTTGTTGTAATATACTTTGATGACATCTTGATCTTTAGTAAGACCAAAGAGAATCATTTAGAACATCTTCGATAGATTCTTACTACCCTTTGAGTTGTTAAGCTCTATGTCAATCCTAAAAAGTGTTAGTTCATACAAACTCGTGTCCTATCCCTAAGCTTTATCATTTCGACCCAAGGTGTTGCCCCTAATCCAGAAAAAATCCATGTCATTTTAGAATGGCTTGAACCTAAAACCCTTTCTGAGATTTGTAGTTTCCATGGATTAGTCTCTTTTTATAGGAGATCCGTTAGAGGGTTTGGTTCTATCATGACACCTATCATCGATTGCCTAAAGAAAGGTGAGTTTTCTTGGACCCGGGCTGCTACCAAAGCCTTTGCTGACATCAAAATGAAAATGACCACCACTTCTATTCTTAGGCACCCTAGCTTTAGTAAACCCTTTGAGGTTACTTGTGATGCCTCCGGTATAGGCATAGGAGGAATTCATAGTCAAGAGGGTCAACTTATTGCCTACGGCAAAATTCTACGCGATTGTGCAATGCCTTAGGTATTAGCGATATTACCTTCCGTCGTAAGAGTTTGTCTTGTTGTCTAACTACCAGGCCCTAAGGTACTTAAATGCCCAAAAGAAGTTAAGTGCTCGATATGCCAAGTGGGTTGAGTTTCTCAGCGAATGCTCTTTTGTAATTAAGCATCGTTTTGATATTCAAAATAAAGTTGTTAATGCCTTTAGTAGAATTTCTACATTCCTATCTAATATTTCCCATGAGTGTCAAGGTCATAAAATTCGAGCAATTAAAAGAAGAGTATACTTAATATCCAGACTTTAATCACATATATTGAGAAGTCCAAGATGGAAACCATTGTGAACATACGGATTTCATTCTTAAGGGTGGTTACCTTTTTCAATCTATTAGATTGTGTGTTCCCCGATCCTCCTTTCGTGACTTCCTTGTTGGGGAAATGCACATCGGTGGATTAGCAGGTTACCTAGGTCGAGACAAGATCATTGCATTAGTCAAGGATAAATTTTACTGGCATTCCTTAAAGCGAGATGTTGCTTGGGTGATGTCGTAGTATCGCACCTAGCAATTTGCCAAAACTCGCAAACACAATATTGGCCCATACACCCCATTACTTATTTTGCCTTCACCATGGCAAGATGCGAGTTTAGATTTTGCCCTTGGACTTCCCAAAACAACCTGTGGCCATAACTCTATTCTAGTTGTTGTTGATTAATTTTAAAAAATGGCCCACTTTATCGTACGTAACAAGACTAATGACGCCTCATACATTGCTAAATTGTTCTTTCGGGAAGTGGTTAAATTACATGGCTTGCCCTTAACCATGGTGTCCAATAGGGATGTGAAATTTGTTAGCTACTTTTGAAAAATTTTGTGAAAACAATTGGGCACAACATTGAAGTTCTCTTTTGCCTTTCACCCCCAAACTAATGGTCAAACTAAGGTTGTTAATCGTTCCTTGGAAATTCTTCTTAGTTGTTTAGTTGGGGTGAAACTCAGAAACTAGAACTTAACTTTATCTACTATAGAATTTGCATACAATAACACTATCAACTACTCCATCGGAAAAAGCTCATTTCAAACTGTCCTTGGATATACTCCTTGCACCCCCATTGACCTTGCACCTATTTTACTTGGCTATCGTGCCTCGAAACTAGTCCACTCCTTCGCTCAACATATTCATGATTTGCATATCGAGATTTGATGTAAAATTACCTTAGGTAATGAAAGTTACAAGCTTGCTGTTAATGCACATCGTAGACGTCAAGAGTTTCAAGCCATTGGTTCTTTCCCCATTATTCAAAAACTAAGATCTAATGCATATATACTTGATTTGCCTTTCGACCTAAATGTTAGTCTTGTTTTCAATATGGAGGATTTAACTCCATATCATGATACTTTTGAGCCTTCTCTATCTATCGGTGTTCTTGCAAGTGACAATCCTCCCAAAGCACCGATTCTCCCACAACACAAGACTGACGTAGAGGCCAATTTTGATGATCGTCTTGTCATGTCTACTACTAGCATTGCTCAACACTTTCGTGTCAAATGACGTGAACGTCCAGTTTTTAGTACCACTTGGATTAGTTGCGAGGAACTTTGACTTTTCACTAGACTTTTTGGACCGGTACCTTGCAGATCACTCTTCGGGGTTGAGTTCTTTTTCATCAGGGAAGAATGATGGAGAGTCATATAGCTTTACAAAGGATTTTAGAAAAGTTTATTTTAGGCAAAGAAATCAACAAAAAGTCATCAATTAGTTGGCCCAGAAATTCTAAGAGTTGTTGAAATTTTTTTAAAAAGTCTCTTTGTCTTTCTAGATACTCTTTTTGTATTAATTACATTATTGTATTAAGTGCACTCATTTAGTACTTAGGTATCCTAGAAGTCACATTTTGGATTTCTAAAAAACATATTAATTTTTTAAGAGATTATTCTTGGGAATCAATGTCTTGATTAATTATACCAAGGCTCCTAAACCCTTATAAATATTGGAGCTTGTCAATGGATCAAGCATTTTCAGATTTGAATGAAAAGAATTATATCTTATCTAGTCTCTTATTCTTCCCTCTTATCTCACACTTCTCTTTCTCTTTACTTCCCTACTCTGTTCTACGTCGCCATGACTAGTTTCTCGATACACTAAGTGATTTATTCTGTGTACTTATGCCTTAATGGCCTGTTTATTTTCCCTTTTACTATTTACAAAGCAGTTCAGTCCATTTTTGGGCACAAATTTTTTTTTTTACAATAGAGTAAAACCAGACTTGGGTGCTTATGCTAGTCATGTGTTTGGTGCCTTCAGACAAAGCATCTGCTTGAACACTTGGAGCACAATGTAGATAGCTTTTAGGTTAAAGTCAGCTATGCCAAATTTGCAACTTTTCTAGTAGTGTTGGAATAAACCTCTAACCAGGACTTAAACCACAATACTGGCCTTACTGGATTGCAAAATATGGATCTTAGATAACCCTTTATGACAGGTGTAATTTCTGCAGGCATTTATTTATTTTTATCTACATGACTGTATCGATGGCCCCATCTCTCACCTCCAAAGCTTTCCGATTGACCAGTTAACCTTGTATGAGCTAACTCTGAAGCTTAAGCCGGCCAATGAAATGGAAGCCAAAGTTAACAAACTCAGGTATATGTTTCATGATCTCATAACACACTTGCAACACGTTCATTGTTTAACATGATGATGTTCTCAGAAAAAATTAGATAAAGTACTGCAGAAATCCATTAATCATATCATAAATTAGTATTTTATATATTGTGAAGAAAATACTATATTACTTCATATTTTCTTTCTGGGCATATATCTCCATGTTGTTAAGCTGGTTTGGTTTCTGCCTATGCTTTTAAGGTGGTCAGTTTCCAGCAGAGTTAGGTTGTTTGTTAAATTTTAATTAAAAGAAATACAAGATATGCATCTGTTTTACTGGCCGAATTCATTTTCTTTCGAAGTCCCTTTACTCGTGCCTCCTGTGGACTACAGGTACAGCTCCGCAACCAATGAGGAAGATCGAAGGGAGGACCAAGGTGTTCTCTGATGATGAAAAAAGCTGAACGTCACCCAACAGGCTTTCGCTGAGGTTATTTTTTTGTTGCTTGTACGAGGAGTACAACGAACAAAGAAACCAGGATAGAACTCAATCGAACTGAATTCTTCTGCGAGTGTGAATTTATGTGAGTGCCATCTTCGACATCTCTAAGCCCAAACTTAATGAATATTAGTGCTAGTGAATTTGTTATCGGGATTGCTGAATCTGTGTACTAATATGCTGGCTCTTTCACACGGCGACTTAAATGCCAAGCATTCTATCTCCTTGTACACATGGGTCGGGAGATTGCAGCCGTTGGCTTTCAGTCCGCCAATGCAAACTAGTCCTACCTTCTCGTCCTGCCCCCAGGCATTCAGATGTTGAAACTTTGGTAAAACTTTGTTCATAATGTGATCGATAATGATCTGATCCACTCATGGTCATATCTATTCCATAATGAAAATGATAAAATTGGCATGTGAAAACAGACAATGCCTCATTTCCAGTCTTTGCCAACAATTAGGTTTTGCTGATTTGATGTGTATGTGATGCATTAGTAGAGTGCAGGAACCTCAGCTCTGCAATATCTGGCTCAGAACCATTCAGATCTGCTCACCACAGCATCGAAATCCTCCAAGGTAAAACTTTGCCACCTTCCTTCAACTTTTTTGCGGTTTGCTCTCTTTTGTTCATGGAATAGGTGAAGTCGGGTATTATGTGGAGGGTAACCAATCAGTTGAATTGGTAGAGCCATTAATGTTAACATTGGAAGGTAACCACAGTCATTCTCCGTTGTGTTCCAACTTCAAATTCGAAGCCTTCTTTTAGTGAATAGTTCCTTTTGTGATGCTCTGAGCGCTTACAGCAGTTTTGGGGGCAAAATGGATGAAGAAGATATATGAAGTTAATATTTGGTGATGATTAAATGGCTTCGTAGTTAATTGTCTGATGCAGCAATTTGTGGGGAAGATAAGAGCAATTGATGAAATATTTGGTGCTTTAAAACCTTAATAGTCAATTGATCTGTGGAATGGACGACAACAATTTCGAATTAGGAAGAGAAGCAACCTTAGTTTTGATTGCAAAAATATTGATTGTCATAGCACCCCTATAACCCCTTGGCGGAAAAAAAGTAGGATGGGCATTTCGATTAGTGGGACGGTCATGGAGAGAGAGTGAGCTTTGCATTATGGGTAAAACTGGGTTTTTTGTTTTGTTATTTTACTATCATCAGGATGGTTGCAGCATGCGACAGTAAACATCAATAGGATCGTCAGTTGACAAAGCTATACATATGTTTGATAAAGCTATGAAGTAATTGGATTGTCAGTTGAGGTCCTCTCCTTGTCATGTGATTATCTAGTAATCTTGCGGCATCCCAAGACCTAAAGGTTGTTGTGTGTGAAGAATCGATACTTAAATTATCGGACTATGGGAAGCCTTTCGAAGTCCATACGGATGCTTCAGACTTCGTTATTGGGAGAGTACTTATGCAGGAAGATCACCTTGTGGCCTACGAGAGCTATAAGCTCAACAAGACCAAGTGACGGTATCCAGTGCACGAGAAGGAGATAATAGTGATACGAGTTTGACGACACTACCTTCTCGAAACATGATTTGTGCTAAAGACGGATAACATCATATTGAGTTACTTCCAAACTCAAAAAAAACTCTCCCTAAAGTAAGCACGGTAGAACACTTCCTAACTGAATTTGATATAGCAATGAAGTACAAGCCCAAAAGAGCAAATATTGTAGTTGATGATTAAGCAAGTAAGTGGAGCTAGTGAATGTCGTGCAATTGGAAGGTGGAGGCTAAGCAAGTCAACTGCACTCTAACTTCCTTTCCAGGATCAAGGATGGATTGTACAGTAATTCTCATGTAGTAACTTTGATACAATTGATCAAAGAAAGTAAGGTATGATAATTTTAAGTCTAAGAGGGACTCGTCTATACTAAAGAGAATAGAGTTTATGTTCCTCAAGTGGACAATTTGAGGCATGAACTTTTGATAGAGTATTACGATTCCCTTTGGGTAGGACATCTGAGTATTCAATGAATGTTGGCTCTCTTGGAGAGGGTATTATATTGGCTGAAGATGGGGACAGATGTTGAGGAATATGTTCGGTTATGCCTTACATGCCAACAAGATAAGGTAGAGCAACGAAAGTTGATTAGACTTTTTGAGCTATTGCCTATACTAGAAAGGTCATGGGAGAGCATTTTCTTGAACTTTATATCAAGCTTACCGGCAGTAGAGAGACTTGGATTGATACTCATGGTGGTTGCTCGGTTTTCAAAGTATACAACATTCATCGTCGCACCCCTACATTGCTCAACGGAGGAAGTAACCAACTTGATGATGAATAATATGATGAAGTATTGGAGAGTCACGTACAATATCATAAATGATCGAAACTTACATTCTTGGGACAATTATAGATCGACCTATTCAAATTGTTGAGATATAAGTTATACTTCTTCACAAGCCTCTACTCTTAGATGGATGGCCAAATTAAAAGAATAAATTTGCTCATTGAGTAATATCTTCAGCACTACATAAGTGCCAACCAATAGGATTCGATGAAATTATTGGATATAGTTCAATTTTCCTACAACTTGTAGCAAAGTTCTATATTCAGCAAAAGCCTATTCTGGATCATTACGGGATAAGTTATATCAAAAGTGGTCCGTCAATATATCACTTTGTAAAAAAAATGATATCAAAATGCATATATTGCATTGGCTTACTTGGAGAAGACTATAAAAAAGATAAAGAAGCTGACAGATCTGGGAAGGCGACATAGGAGTTTAAAGTCGACGGCTTGGTATTGGTAAAACTCCAACCAATATCACTTTAGTTCTTTAGGCATAAAGTGCATAAGGGATTGGTGCGTAAGTATGAAGAGTCCTTTTCGATTATCAGCATGGTAGGTAATGTCTTATATAAGTTACAACTACCAATGTGGCTTAAAATTCATAACGACTTTCACATGAGCAACTTGAAAGCCTATTACTCAGATTCGCAAGATGCTTCCAAAAGTATTCTAACTCAGCTATATCCTACTAGAGCTTCATACGAAAAGTAAGTTGAAGTCATTTTAGCATATCGTAAGACAAAGCTATCTAACGGAGCAGAACAGATCGAGTACCTAGTGAAGTGGCAAAAGCTTCCCCGAACAAAAGTCAGTTATGAGCCTAAAGACACCTTGCAACATGAAGTAGTAGTTATTAAAGTCTACCAGCAAGCGTCGACAAGGGCATCAATAATTTAAGTGGGGGCAATTATCACAAACAATCGTCGAATAACCACAGCGCTTTTGTCAATGGGCCATTTATCACTTTTGTTTGCTTGTATATATATTTGACAGTATATTTTGCCTAATTTTTGCTTGAAAACTAGGAATAGAAATAGTTTACAAGACTATAGTGTGATCATTTACCAAAATGAGCAAAATTATCTCAGGATGATCCAGTTTTCGTGTGTCATGACCTATTTTCTACAAGCTATTGTGTGAAGCAAAATGTCAACCATCTTCGCACCCCCAGAACCCCTCGGGTGGCACAGGCCTGGATGGAAGTTTGTAATAATATTGGGCATTGATTGGGTTTACAAGTTTGCATGTTAAGTAATTGAGAACTTATCAACGCGCTCGACACCTAGTGAGTAATCGTTTGCGAACTTGCAACTATTCGTTTGCCTTCTAAAGTCCTTGTTTTTCTCCATCTCTTTTCTCTTTTGTACACAAAGTGTTTGTTGAATTACTTGTAAAGTTATTCTCAAGATACTGAATTTGTCTATCGCTTATTTTTTAACGGATCGATTTATTCTTTTATAAGTTTTTTGGAACCTGAATAAGATTATGATTAGACTAACCATTTATGGACGGATAATACAAGAATATCTCATCACTTGAACAATTCTAGTTGAATCCGTGACAATAAATTTAAATGAAGCATGAGGGAATTTGGAGACAGAAGTGTATACCACAAGAATAATTAAGTTGTCAAGCCTTCGTAGTGATGATGTTTTTCTATTCTTCGATGTTTGCTATTCCTCACAAGAAAAAAAAAAAAATGTTATCATGTGTCATTACGCCGAAACACATCTGAACCTACCGTAGGCTCTTTGGCGCCATGCCAAAAAGCACAATTTTGCGTGGATGGAAGTTGAATCCTTGTGAGATATTGGATATGAAGTGTCAGAATGACCTTAGCTACTTAAGAAGCTTGGGTGAGTGACCATTTCTTTTTTTCCAAAAGAAAAATTAAACTTTACTGGTAAGAGTAAAAACGAACCAAAACATCACTCTTCGCATCTGATCCAGCGAACCCAAACCCGATTAAATTTGTTGTACTTTGCAAAGCTAACCTTTGGAAATGAATGCGAGTCTCGAGTGGAAGGATGATCGCATAGGACATCTGTTTACTCGCTCGTTGCAAACCGATTCAATTCGTCATACTTTGCAAACAGCTCAGCAGAAGGATTCCACTCACGAAGGGCATATGTTTGCCCGCTGATTGCATCGCTGCATGAGCAAAACTATCCACTGTAATATGTGACACAAAACATCTTTGAATGGCACACAAAATTGGACTGACCTCGTTGTGGGATACTCGAACATATCAACACCTCGAGTGACGAAGCTTTGTGACACAGCGATCGATCATATGTCATGCTCTGTTCCTCGCACTAAGCTACCTCATTCAGACCAATAGACCAATGACCAATTTTGCATGCTGTGTGACTGCTACATGCGATCATGTTAGTCATCTCAACAACACCTTGAACTCATTCGCAATTGATACAAGACTGGATAAGACTGACAGATGCCCTCAACTTGCCTTCATGTGATGCAGCATATTAGTGATCTCAACAACTTGAATCCTGAATATGATTACAGGATTGCACTCATCTTGCCTTCACCTCGCCCGTTGCATATCAAGATTCAAGAATCAGCAAATTTGATGGAACTCTGTTGCACAAGGTAACGCATGAAAAGAATGACATGAAAGATACACGCACCCTCTCCTCTCCACCTTGGTTCATATGATGCTTCAATTATTGTGCTCCAAAGGTGTTCTCTCAGATGCTCTAATTGATTACTCAAGCTGACTACATGATTTCTTCCTTTAGCAGCACTATAATCTCTTCAAACTTTTCTTCCTTGCATCCATCTTTCGTCTATCTACCTGAGCTTTTACAGCAACCATCCCTTCCGTCTTTTGAGCTGCTGATGCTCCAACAGTGGCACTTTCTGTTGGAAGAACGGGAACAGCATTCTCATCTCGAGCATTTTGCGCCGGTACTTCTGTGGGCACAGTTGATGGTGCAGTAAGCAGTGGCATTTGATCACCAGAAACCACGTTCGCTTGATCCACATTCAGAGCTGTAGTAGACTCAGAGATGCCCGGCTGGCACTTGGGTTTTGGTTTAAGGGCATGAATTCCAGTGTATAACCTGCATAAATGCATCATACAATTATTTTCTCCTACTTGTTTTAGCCTTCCATGAAAAAGTAGACTGTATAATTGTGACTATTACTACCAATGTAAAATGGAGGAGCATACAAGATCAGAACCTAGTTAGGATGGCCAACTAGTTTTATGATAGAAAGAGAAAAAAAGTGAAAGAAACTTTACCTTGCATGCTTCGCGTACTCCTCATAGTTTTCAAGCAACATTTTTCCAGCTTGTTCATTCAGGGCAGACTCGGGAAATGGTTCGATCAGCAGGCATCTTACCACCTGTCACACGAAATCAACATGTAGAAAGCTCATTTAATACAAGAAAACTTATTATTTGTTCATCAAGTAATATCAGGGTCTTAGAAACTTATTATTTGTTCATCAAGTGATATCAGGGTCTTAGAAACCAGTTTTCAGGTTGGTGCTAAAGCATAGCCTTGGAGTGTGGAAAAAGGAAAGATAAAAAGAACAGTTGATTGCCAGGATTCTAAAATCACTCTCTACAAGTTGGATTTTTCTATGTTCAGATGGAGACATTTGAGCTTACAATCAGAACATGTCTTAGTCCAAGACTTGGATTCCAATCCTTCTTCAGTGTGTTGACACAAATTTCACCATTTGTCGCAATGTTTGGATGAAATATTTTGGTTAGGAAGTAGCCTGTGGAAGCAGAAGAAAAGTTGATACAATGCAACTAGTAATTCTTTTGTAACCAAGATGAAAAAGAAACAGACATGGTCGGATTCAATATTTAGTGAATGACCTTTTGGAGGTGACTGGGGGAAGTCATGAGACAACAATAGCTTCATGCGGAATGTACCGTTCTCATATGGTGTTCCAGCTGCAAAACACATGTAGCACAAACTTGTCAAGCGTTAGACTCAATGCTAAATTAAAATGGAATGATGCTACATCTTTCGATCGCCTACCAGGACCCTCAATATCAGCAAAAATAGTAGTAAAGTCATCATCATTTACAACCACTTTTATTCCTTCCGGAGGTGATTCATCTAGGTTCTTGAGTTCCCTTGCTAGCTGTTTGATGACATTTGGTGGAAGATTCTCATTGGTTGCCTGCTTGCAGTAACAAGCATTAAGTGGCAAAAGAAAACACACATCAGTGGATTTATCATATGTATGAATCCCCAAAAATATCTAAGTTGAAAGTGGAATTGCTTATGTACCATTGCTGGACAATATGTAGGTTTCTTCACTTTAAAGATTAGCTCTCAGGATGCTTTATCCAGGCATTAATTGAGTTGAATCACAGCACAGTATTCAAATTTGCCAAGACAAGTCTGCAGAAAATATACTATAAGCATTAACTTTTCAATATTCTTATTTATATAGCAGATAAATTCGGGAGAAAAATGCCTTTGGGCCACTCTTCTTATTGCCAACCATTAAATTCCACCCATTTGAAGGAAGCCACATAAACACTTCAGTTCTTCAAGGAACCATCCACGGCTTATACATGCTAGATACTTGCAAAGTTTACTTTCATAAATTATTAACTAATTTAGACTCATCAAACATTATTAACCACATAATTGCAAGGTTTACTTTCATAAATTCATATGATAATAATGTTCTATAAGATATGCCACCTTGATTCTCAAAGAAGAGAGAACTTGCAAATAACCAAACAAAAGTTGGCGAGATGAGATTTTGCTCAAATGCATAGCATGGGCAATTATCAATGCTGCTAATGATAAAAAAAATGATACACTGGACCATGTGCAGATGATAAAATACAGGTAAAATGGTTAAGAAGCTTGGAAACCAAATGATACAAAAACACACAAAGATGAACAGATAAACACATCTTCACCCAATAGAATTTATTGAATGCTAATATTTGCTAAAAAGGATAACAGCAGAGTAATTTTTATTTTCAATATTAGTATAGATTTTCTGCATAACATGATATTGTGGTTGATGGGGATGGTACACATGGCCCCTCCAATTGAGCAATCTTCATATGCCAACACGACAGCTGACACGACAAGACCAAATTATTTCTTGATTCATGATTGGGACCAACACTACGCCAACTCTTTGTCTCTAAATTTTGTATATATATATATATATATATATATATATATATATATATATATAATCATTAACAGGATCCACTGGAGCAAGCTCCGATACCTGTTGATCCTCATATTGCATCTTATGACGTTGGACATACTGGAGGCTAGCACATAGAAGGTCGGTGCACACAAAACCAACAAATCATAGATTTTACGTTCAGAATATAGGAGGTCAACACATCAAAGACAGGCTCATCGGAGGTCATGACATCCTAACGTGTTTGGTACCAACTAAAATTGACAGAAATCAACCACAAATCATTGAAACATAACATTACTAGCTGAAATTGATCCATATCGGACCAGTAGCCCAAGCCTGCACACTAAAGATCCGTTTTGCTCCTTTCAAGAGCCCGAGGGAATACACACACACACACACACATATATATATATATACACACACACATGAACATAGACTACACCCTCATACCAGATAAAACTAGTGTAGAAACTGCTCTAAGTTTAGAACATGTCACAACAGCTAGCTGAAGGAAAGAATACAGAGGGTTCAAAGCAAATAAGTCTTTCATGCTACCTAATCAGACTGCATTATAGACACTTAATTTGATCGGAAATAATAGTTCAGCTAGTCTTTTTGTTCGATAACATTACCCATCTAGTATCAGGAACGCCCCCTTATTCCTCCAGTCTCTAAAACCCTGTAATGTGATAAGATAACAATGCATATGCTTTCTTCAGAGTTTCGATGTGTCTCCAAAGTAACTAGAAAACACATCTTTGTACGCCGTCACACTTGAAGAAAAGGTAAGAGAGCCAAACACGAAACCCTAACTTGCTCATGATCAACGACAAAGAACATCGTTTCAATCTTGGGAACGAACTCATCCAAACCAATACCTCCCACAGGACAAAATAACATCAAGAAGAACGGAAAAGATTGTTGCTTCAGCAACTCCTAACGAAAGCAGAACACTGAAATCCAACCTACATAACCATTTCCAGCGTACCGAACAAGAAATTAAGACCAGCAACAGTATATGAGGCCAGATCTTGCGGTCAATCAAAGCAAGCAAGAGAGAGAGATGCGATCACTCACCCGAACGGGTTGAGGGGAGCGAGATCCCAAATCAACGATTGGGGCAAGCGTTCACGGCAGACGAGACCAAGGGGAGCGGCTATAAGAGTGCAGCCAGCAGTGCGTTCGCCGTTGAACACAGCATTACCAAAATGCCCCTTAATCGATCTCCGAATTACCAGATCTGCGCGTTCATTGCCTTCACCGATGAATAAACTGGGAATACCGGCGTTACGAGTTGACTATTATACCCCCCATCAGTGTGATCCGATCCCGGATCTTTTACACGGCATATGTGAATTGACGAGAGTACACTTGGATCAGACCGTTGTAGCCGCGTCGGTCCGCAGGTAGCCGTTGCCTGTCGCCAGCTAGCGGTGCCAGCCGCCTTGTTATTTTAGTTGGGATTTGGACAACGATGCCTTATTTTCTATTGGATAGGGAAAAATAATTTGGTGGGGACGAGTTGGGATATATATATATATATATATATATATATAATCTAAAAGTTATTATTATTAGATTTTTATGAGATAAAATCCCTCTTGCTGTTTAATCATGGGTTTTTGTTAATTGCTCTTGAATTAGATTGTTTGAACATACTAATGATACGACGATCCAGTCATTTCGATTAAAGCATCTCAAGTTGGGTTGGGTTAAGTCATATTAGATTAGGTCGAGTTGGATCTATAAAATTAAACGAAGAAAGTGACAAATGTCATGAGTTACACTAAATAATCGAATGTAACCTTGACGATTCCTTTTGCTCTTGATGATTTGTGCTCACAGTAACATTTCTCGACGTTGAGTTCTTCTTCTTGATAGCAATCATTGAAAGCGATATCTTTATTAATTTAATATTTTAATATTTGAATTGATTAATATGTTATTATATAAATAATATATTTTAAATTAAAATTCATATGTGAACGTCATATATATATTATCATTTGATGTAATATTTTTTTATAAAAACTTTTTATAATCTGACATTGATTCATTGCATGCACCGAACCCAAAACTAAACTAAAGAACCCATCTGATGTAATCTAACCACCGGCAGATACACGAATCTTGTAGACTTTTGTTAGGGACCCACGCCACGTAAGATGTGGAGGAGGGATCAAGCACGCCAGGTGTTTGATGCAATGCATCAATCAGGGGGTTTGATTTTTTTTGGCGTCACCCACCTCTACATACCATTTAATAGCCCTCCGCGCAATCATGACCGTGACCAAGACGCCAATAATTTGTTATGTACTAATAATAACAATGAATCTGAAGGGAAAAGAAAGATCAGTGAGCAGCCAAATCGAGATTGATTTATCCGACTGCATCAGATGCACATAAAGACATGCATCTGCAGTCTCCGCCGGCGGGAAGAATTGTGGTTGTCATGGGTTGTTTTGGTGGGATGGACAACCAGTCATGAATGATACAGACCTTGTTAATTAGGTAAATATGTGTTCAACACGCATGGCTTCCTTTGAACTCTTTCTATTCTCTATGGTGGTCGAACCGAATACTAAAAGATTATTCAAAGTAAAGAAAGCTTTGTCACTTATCCTTATAAAAATATTGAAATGTATAAATTTGTCTAACTCAGCTTAATCTTTCAATGTAAAAGACATATGATGCGATCAAATTTGCATACATTCACACTCATCCTTACAAAGACCGGCCCTCCTACCTCCTTCGCTCCACCTCGCACCTGACCTCCATCCGGGTCCTCGACGCCAGCCTAAACTGCCTCCGCTCTCTCCCCGACGGCGTCGAGAGCCTCGTCCCCGACGGCGGACCACCAAAGTCCTCAGCGTCAGCCAAAACTTCAGGTACCTCCGCTCTCTCTCTCTCTCTCACTCCATCGGGCTCCTCCCCTCCCTGGTCGACATCAGCGTCCTCCCGGACTCCATGGTGTGCCTGGCTGAGCTCCGAAGCCTCCGAGTCGAAGGCAACCCGCTCGTGCGCCCGCCCATGGAGGTCTGCGAGCACAGCATCGGCGCCTTGCGCGAGCACCTCAATGCGAGGAGGAACCGCAGCGAGTCGACGCGTCCTTCCATGATGAAGCATTCTTGGATCAAGAAGCTGGTCGAATGCGGGACCTTGACCGACAACATCACCCCGAGCAACATCGATATCAGAGATGAGAATGATGGGTTATTGCTCTCGGACTACCGTTCGATTGATGGGCTCGCTTCGCCGACGTGCGTCGGCAAGTTCTCACCTCGACGACTGTTCTCAACTCGACGGGCTTCGCCAAGAAAGCGTCGCGAGTGATCTCCATGTGGTTCGTGGCTAATTGGAACACGACATTCTGTGCGATGATGTGTCTTTTCGTACTTATAAAGGCTCACAGAGGACGAGTGGCTGTCAATCTGCCATCACACAGTCCCGTCTCTGTTCCGCTTGTCTTTCGTGATGCTTGCTTTCCCGTTTCCTGTGATCCACGTCACAACGTCCACAAAGACAGGGGGACCCGCCACAATAATGTCGCTTTGACTCTCCGCCTGACCTCAAACGGAGAGTTGAGTGCAGCTCATTCGCACCGAGAAAGCGACAAAAGTCGTCGCTCCCACCACAAAAGTTGGTCATACGTCAGCTTTCCTGGGAAGCGTGTTTCACTAATTTTTACAGGCTAATCAACACAGACATCAACACCAAGAAGAAGAGGAAGAGACACGCGGCAAGGACTGGTCAAACGGTCGTACGGAGGATGAGCGGCCCTGATCTCGCGGATCAACAATCATGCACCGGTTGAGATGGGCTCGGGGTTGGAGGCGTGACGGTGCTCCCCCTCGTACGTCACGATGAGCATCGAGGGGTCGTCAGGCGCCCGCTCCACGTGCTTCCTCGCCGGGCATCCCCGCATGCTGCTGCACTTGTAGTAGCCCCTGCAACAACAGACAGCGAATGGATCAGACCGTGCCACGTCGAGGACGGCCGGAGATCGGACGGCGGCGCGTATAGTGGCAGGGCGCCGAGCATGGTTACCTGGGATAAGGGGAGCCCTTGATGGGCTTCTGCCCGTACTTCCGCCACGAGTACTCGTCGGATGGTATGTCCGCGTTCCTCAAGCTTGTCGCTGGCACGCGAATCGTCCTCTTCACCCGAGTTTTCCTGCAAGGACAACGGGGCCGGGCGCACGTTAGACGACACGACCGAGGCCTGCCACCGTGTGCAGGGAGAGCGAGAGAGAGGCTCATAGGGGCTCACTTTTTCTTGGAGGAGCAGTGGCAGAGATCACCGCTGTGCTTTCTCAGGGCGACGTCACAGTGGACGCGGTCGTGACAGTCGCCGGGGCTTTTCCTCTTGTGGGACGATGACAGAGGGGGCTTACCGACGGTAACGGCAGCGGCGGCGACGACGAGGGCTTCCAACAGGACGGCCGGCCCCATCTTGCCGTCGGTGACGCTGCCGTCGCCGGTGAGCGAAGAGAGGAACGAGGAATTTCCGGATGACATCGTGGTGGAAGCGCTGAAGCCGAGACTCAGGGTCGTTGCGGCGGGTTCGCCCTTCGCCTCGGTGAAGTCCATGGTTAGGCCCTTCGACGCCACCGGCAGATTCGGCTGAGGCTGCGACTCGAATGGCTGCGGAAGCAGACTCAGGGTTTTATCTTCCGTGGCGTCAGTCGTGGCGAGCATCGGTCCCCGACGGAAACGTGCGTGGCCGGTGCGGTCCAGGACGGAGATCACCTTCCTGAACTTGGAAACCGTCAGATCGGTAATCTCCCGGCAATCGGACGGCGAACTCTGGCGGGAGAGCCGGGAGACGAGGTGCTCGATGCTACGGACCCCGGCAGCTGCAGCCTCCTGGATAGCCACCAGCTCGTCCATCTTCTGGCGGCTCATCAGATCGGCGGCAGTCATATCTAAACGAGACCAAGACACAACCTCAGATCAGATCCCAGCAACCATACTACTCTCTTAGCGTTCAAGTTCAGGAGAAGAGGAGAGATCGAAGCTTGAGAGAGGAAGGAAGGGAGGCGGAGAAGTCCATGTATTATAGTGGTGGAAAGCTTGAACAAGAAATCGGGCTGGAAACAGTCAACAAAAGCGAAACAGTCATCGAGGAAAACGATACCCTTCTCCGAGTGTTCGTACCTCTCGGGGCGTGGAATGACAGTTCAATCGGTTGACTATCTTTCCATCCTTGGGTGGACTTGTGGGTAAAAAGCGGCAGCAATAATATGGCCGTGTGAAGAAAAACGATTGCATTAAATATCGTGAGAAAATTGCACAGTGAATTCCGAAAAGTCCTCTCCATGTGTTGACCGGAGTCAGCCGACTGCTGTACAAGGTTGGACCGGTCTAACTCCGAGGAAAAGAGGAAGACGATCAGTTTCCACCGTTGGATTGCGAATCCAACGAATCTGAAAGATGATCCGTAACTGCAGAAAAGTTCGTCCCGATTCAGATGCCGGAAATCGAGGGATTCGATTCATCTTGCGTTGGATTTAGCGGTGTGAGAGATAAAGAGGAAGATGACAGCGAGGTAGTAATGGGGAATCGCGTGTTGAGAGGAGGAAGAAAGCGGATGACGATTTCGCCTCCTGCGTCCTGAGAGAGTTGACCGAAGAGACGCGTAGCAGGAACGCAAACCCTTCTTTTCCCTCTTCAGTTCCTTGCGGAGCCGTTCTTTTAGGTGAAGTCAAGAGTCTTCATGCGGTAGCTTTCGTCAGTATGGTCTTCCCTTGTTTTGACTTTTGCCAGCCAAACGTTGACCTCATAGTCAATTCTCCAACAGAAGTTAGACACTCCTTACGCAACCATGCATGACCGGAACACCACAAAATAGGGTTATATAACTATAATTATATAGTTTATTTATGTTCGAAATGGTATATATATTATCTAAAATATTTTAGTATTTCTTGTGTGGACAGTTTACCAGAAAAACACCTAATAATTTGTTGAGAATTTACACTATGTTTTAACTTAAATTCCAAATTTATTCTTCTATTTCTTTTTTTTTTTTTTGCAAAATTTCTTTAACCCTTTCAAATTAGTAAACTGGCTCCAATCAACTTGGGCTCAAGTTAACCCAAAGGGTTTTTCTTCTCCTCCTTTCTCTCATCCTCCTTTTATCTCTTTCTCTTAACTTGAATGAGTAATGCAAGGATGAATAAAATGTGAAGATCGAATATAATCGATTTAGTTCGGTTTGATATGGTTTACTTTTCTGTTAACACA